AAGCCTTTACTCCATTCACATCATCACGGTCAACTCTACTTGGAGGAGGCAGCTCTTCCCCAGTTGCATTTTGAGTGCCTTCCAACCTGAGGGGCTCATCTTTAGGAGCTGTATCTAACAATTGTTCTGGTGCTCTTCATCATGTTTCAATATTCAGTATTCTCATGCTATCAGACAGTGTTTCCTTGCTATTCATAAGGGTTTCAGTTACTAAATATTTGGAAGTAGTCCAGCTCTCCTTTTTCCAAGTATGTCTTCGTCTGGAAGTTCTGCTGAAATCTGTCCACCGTGGGTGAGTCTGCTGGGATTTAAAATACCCGTGGCTGAGCTCCCGGGATCATAGCAACATGCCAGCCACCACAGTACAACAAGCCGACAGAAGAATTTGTCAGTTTATGTATATCTATCTCTATATTAGACCCCTGGTATGGCACTAGGTTAATACATTGGACTGCAAAGTTGGTTTGAACTGCAAGGCTGGCATTTCAAGCTCACCAGTTGTGCCTCAGAATCCCTATACAGTGTTGTTGTGGGTCGAAACAGACTCGACAGCACTTAGCAACAACAACAACAACAACAACAATCCCTATCTATATGTATTTCTAGGTCTATATCATGTTATCTCTTTATGAAATAAACGGCTAACTGGTATCAGAAACTACAGTAGGCCCTATCCAAGTATTACCACTAAGTCTTACAATGTTCACCTGTGCAGGAATGATCACCTTATAGCTGGGGTTCTGGGAGTTAAATAACCTGCCTCAGGTAGAGTGATAATCAGCCACAAGTCTAGGAAATGGCTCCAGGTGGTTTCACTCCCAGAGGCAGTGTTCAGGTGCAGGCCAGAGGGTGTCCCTGGGTGTCCCAATGCACCATGGTCATTCTAATGAGCATGGACTGGTACCCTTTTCCATCACATCATCACTGCAAAGGCAGCGGCTGATGGGTCAATGGTGGGCATGATGGTGTGGTGTCGAGCCCACCTGGATCCCGGAGGCTGACGTCCAGCTGTGCCATTTTAAAGAATTACCCACGAGTCACTCTGTTTTACCCCACCGTGTGCATCTCAGTGTAGCCTAAAACGAAGCTTCCAGAAAGCTGGTTGTCCTTGCCCGGAGCTGCGTAATGGGCCAGTAGCCCCACTGAGTGGTATCCTTTGAAAATAGGGCTTTAAATCACAAGGGACATGTTTGATTCCGTCACTTTTGTGCAGAAAGTTCATGTTTTGACAGGAATGAAATACTTCCAGCTCTGCATTTCTTGGAGAAATTCAGACGTGTGTGGAATCTGCTTTGAAGCTTTAGGACATGAAGGTCTTGTCTGCAGTTGACTGCCTTCAGTTCCGGGGGCACCTTCTCACTTTCTATGTCTCTGTTTCTCCCTCTCTCAGTCTCTCTAGTGAATGGGAAAAAACCCAAAAAACACGTGTCTTGTCTATTTTCGTTTGGTCTCAATAAAATTCCAAAATACTTCCATCAGACTCACTAATTGGTGTTATAAAAACCCACCAAACTAGTGGGAATAGGCAGTGGCGGGAGAGATTGACAAGGCTGAATTACACTTTGACATGCTTCAAGGGGAGATCCTTAAGATGCACGCACTTAAGATCTGGAACTGAACTCACCCCCTGGCTTCATATTCAGGCAAACTATGGACAGGGTGAAGGAGGAAGTCCAAGGTGCATTGAAGGAATTGGCAAAGAACAAGGCACCAGGAATTGAGTGAATAAAAATTGATATCTTTCAAGAAAGTGAGGTGGCCAGGAGGCATTCACTCATCTCTGCAAAGAAATTTGGAAGACAACTATCTGGCCTACTGATTGGAAGAGATCCATATTTGTGTCCATTCCAAAGAGAGGTGATCCAACAGAATGCAGAAATCATCGTTCAATCTCTTTGACATCCCATGCGAGTAAAGTTTTGCTAAGGGTATACAGAAATGGCTACAATCATACACTGACAGTGAACTTCCAGAGGTTCAAGCCGGATTCAGAAGAGGCTGTGGAGTGAGGGATATCGTTGCTGATGTCCGGTGGATCTTGGCTGAAAGTAGAGACTGTCAGAAAGATGTTTATCTGTACTTTATTGACTACGCAAAGGCTTTTGATT